ACGATGGCCGAAGTGCTGGCGGAGGCGAGGGAGACGAGCTCGGTGGAGTCGGGCACGGAAGATGAACACAGTAAAATCGGACGCGGTGGATAAGGTCGTGATGGACAAGACGTCCAGTTTCTTTTTTAATGGAGAAGAAGCTGTCGGAACGGACCATGATTGTTTGCGATTAAATGAGGAGAGAGATGGTTGCCTCGAGCTAAACATTCTGTCGTCTGTATACCTCGAGCTAAACAAAATACCATGATGTGTTTGCGATTAAATGAGGAGAGAGATGGTTGCCGTCGCCTGGTGAGACGCCGGCTGTGGCTCGTGCTCCTATGCATAATCGCCAGCTGAGTGGCCGTTGTATGTATCGTTGCCAGCCGACGACGACTCCACCTGGTCGCGTACGTCGCCTGGTGACACATGTTGCATAGTTTGTGCCTGGTAGTGCCTTCTTTTGAGCAGGTGTTCACTTGAATGCACACATTCTGTAAACTGAATGTTCACTTGAACGCACACATTTTATAATTCTATTTTTCAGTTACCTGCATGCTCACTTGATTTTGATTCTTGCTATGGAAACAAAGAAAATTAGACATAAATTTTAGGGGAAGAAGACGTATGTTATATTTGATTTATGAAATATATTATATTACATTATATATATCTAATATATGATTTACCCTGAAAGATTTCATTAATTAGCATCACAATGGTATATAGAAATGATATTCATGATTGATCATAGCTATATGCAAGCATTAAAAAATTTGTAGACAGTCAAATAGGGGTTGTATAAGTTATTTCTTCAGCCGTCTATATTCAGCCTGTTCGTTTGGCTGTGGCTTGTCGTAAACGATCGTAAATTTCTAGCAGGAATAGTGTTTTTCTCTCACACAAACCAGATAATAATACTTCTTCACGAATCAACAACAATACGAACCAGCCAACCGAACAGGCTGATTATAAATTACAACAACTTACAGACAGCAGCGGTGTGTCTGTTGCACGTGCCCTTACCGTTCGCATTAGGCTTCCTGGACCGAAGTCGCCGACCCGGCGGCGCCGTTTCCATTCGCGCGCACAACTGAGCTGCCGCTCACCTTGGGCTGATCTCGAAGCTCCTTTTAAACGAGAGAAGTGAGCCTGTGGGCCTGGCCGTGGACCTCTGTTTCTTCTTGTCTGCAGGTTCCCGGCCCACTAGGCCCGAACCGACCCCCGGCCCAATATTTTAATTGGGGGCACTTCCAGTGCAATAATACCTTCTCTAGTTTTGTTTGTTCTCTAGAAAAAGAAAGTGCCTTTTCTTATGATTTCAAAAAAAAAAAGTGCCTTTTCTTATATTCCTCTCAAAAGATAATGAGGTGCCTCTCCTTCCTCTGTGACTGACATTTGCACTTTCTCCGTAGGAGCTGTTTGGTTCGAGCATTTAACAACGGTTTCTATTTGCTTCACCATCACCGACCGAGATCCTATAGCAGGGTAACCAATTCTGTGCTTCGGTGGATCGATTACGCCCGATTTGAGCAGCAACAGTTGCCACTCTCGTCAGTGTTTTTACCACAGGTGAACCAAACAAAACACCAAACCATGGATTCCCTTCTCATTCCAGTCGAGGAGATATTCCCTTTACGTTCACGATAGACCAATTTTTTTGGTGACTGAAAAAGGACAAACAAAAGTGCACGAGTACCGGCAGCGGAGCGAATCATCAGATATATAATCTCCTGCTTGCGCTTTCAGCTGATCGATAATGCGACGAGCAGCAGAAAAGGTGGATCTGATCGATCGGCAAAGATTTGATCTATCTCAAAGCCGCAAATCTTGAAGAATTGTTGTCCAAGCGGGCAACAGGACAATTGTCCACCAGATAGAAAGACATGCACTAGCAGCCAGCAGGCAGCAGCTGTGATACTACTGTTCTTCCATTTTGCCACCATTTTCTGAGACACCATGGCCACACCGACGCTATATTATCCGTATATGGCTATATATACCTGCTGCTGTCATGGATTTCGTATCAGGATGCGACTGGAAAGTCCTGTTGGATTGGAATTTGCGAGGAAGGTTAGCTTGTGTTTGGGTTTTTTTTTTTGGATGGATTGGATAATATATATATATATCGCTGATTTTTTTGGATGGAATGAACTTATTTCATATTTGATTGGGTGGGGTCGAGTCATTCATGTTTCTTGTTTGCTTTTGGACGTGGGATGATGTGTTTAGCAAGTGGGTCTCATGTGTTATCCACTATTTTCCTTTCACCCTCCTTGCGGTTTGTTATCAACACGCACAATGCCATGTTCATTAGCATTGCTCGTCTGCGCCATCACCCTCGGCCTCAGACCCATGCCGCCGCCACTCGCCCCGTGTCACCCTTGGCCTCGACTCGCACTAGCCCGCACCACGCCGCCACTGCCACCGCTCGCCTATGCCACCGCCCTCAGCTTGTGCATCGCCCTCAGCTAGACCCGTTCATGACCCGCGTTAGGCTTGCGTGCTCGCCCACGCTATCGCCGTCGGCTCGACCCATGCTACTGCTTGCCCTTGGTCACTATCCTTAGCGAGTTCATAAATTTCATATCTTGATAAATTCATAGTCCAGCAACCTTAGCCTAAATATGTGATTGGGTGACTAATGCTACTGGAATATGCTTGTTCCCCTAAGATTATCTCCTTTCCCTATTGTTGGAGAATAATTGTCCTAGGGAAATATTTGTGTCCCTGCATTTTGCAACAATAGAAAAACTTTACATTGTCCAGGGATTATATGTTTTTCTCGAGGCCATGAACCCATTGCCTGCCACATTATTGGTGCCTCAGTGTAATATTTCCATATAAAATACATCAAGATCCTATGGAAAAGGCAGAACCCTAATACATTTGTGTTGTGCCATCAAAGAGTTGCTTTCCTAGCGCACGGCCATAGGCCAAAACCTTCTCCTGCCACCAACTAATTAAACTCGCTCGCGCTCCAATCCTTCTGCTGTGGCACCCCATCCAGCGAATCGGTCTAGCCCTCTCCGCCATCACCTTCTCATCCAACGCCGCCACACCTCCCATCCACCCCATCTAGCGCCACCACATCTCATTAATCGATCCACTGCCGCCACCCATGCTTTAGGTTCACCACAAGAAACCTAATCAACTGAGCTGATTTGTATTTGTACCTAGTATTCAAGAAAAGATGACTCTTTCAACCGTCTTCCTCTTCTTCTTTTTTGAAGCAACACGAGGAGACAGGCTTGCCGATCAAAACACGTTTGGAGAATTCATAAATAATAGAACGGGAAATGTAAAACACATAACTAGCCAGTCTTCTGGAGGAAAAAAAAATATTCTCCTTTCGCTCCATGGATAATTTGCTTTCTGCATTTTCTTTTTACTATACACATGAGTACTTTCTCTTCTCTTCTCTATCAATCAGTGTCTAGGCTTTGTTTCTTCTTGTGGTATAACACGATGATGAGTCAAATATTCTATTCCACGCACTTTGCCAATGTTTTATTCATCTTGACATTTTTGCCCTTGGCACCAGCAGAACATCCAATGGCCTCTTGTAAATTCTCTCTTACAGAAAGTGTAATCTTAATATATCCTTGCTCTATCTCTTTTTTCTTATCTTACTTTTGACACGCATAAATGCAAATTCCTCTGCTTCTGCTACAATTCAATCAGGACGTCAATCATCAGAGATGCCCTCCTTTCTCCTAAATATGTGGTCCACTCAAAAATTCCGGATTCCAAGCTAATTTGATGTTTTGAGAACACCACATCTATTATTGGGCTTTTACTGTAACTTTACACATAGTAAAAAATGGTGTCCCCTTTCCTTTACACAGTTACAGTCTACTAGGAGGCTAGGAGCTCTCACTTTTTCATGTAGCTGTAGTTCCTCTGCTTCTTTCAGTTTCACTGCTTGATTATTATTACCACCTTTTACTGCAAACCCTATTTTCGTCACCACCTTTGCAACCATGAGTAGAACTAAGGAGTACAAAGAATCTTGAACAAATAGTGGCAATATTATTACTCCTGAATTAGCACTACTCTGAACATCATTAATCAATCAGGATGCACTCATTAGTCATGATCAATTAACATCTTTGGATCTGGAATCAGGATTAGGATATAACCGTACCCTTCCTAGCAGACTCCATTGGCCACCTTGGACATATAGCAAACACAAAAGGCAAAAACAAAATAAAAATAGGGGCTGTCTACCTTGTGCCCGGTTGATTGAGACAACACCATCAACCGGTTGATTTGCCCCACTCAAACAACCGGTTGAGCCAATTCATTCAATCAACCGAAATTTAAAAGAGGCCAAATTCACTTCACTTGGCCTATTATATTAGGCCAAATCAAATATAATAACAAGGAAGCAAAGCCAGTTCAGATTAAAGCAACTGATACAGATAGAAACCAATATCAAATGAGGAAAAAAATACAAAAATTGAATTCCATATTCTTTCACAACCAAATCATTAGACAAATTGAATAAAACAATACAGCATTCAATCAGAGAGAAACTTACACCAAAGCAGTACAAAACTTACACCAACCAGTTATACAAATTATAGTTGAAAATACAATATAAATTATGGACATTTCAAGTGTAAAATAAATTACAGAGCAATGTAAAGAAGCTAAATAGATTAGCAAGTATAGCTATGGCCAGCAAGAACAAGCACCAGGAAACTCCAAAAACCAACTCAAAAAAGGACTTTGAGATAATTCAAATAATCAAATGGACAAATGTACAGGCAAAAATATCCAATTTTTTTCTATGGTAGCCATATTGCAAATAAAAAGGTGGCTACTAATTCAGAAATGAAAAATAAACAAATTAACAAAATTAGAAATTCTTAATGAGAACAAACCTTGCAAAAACAACATCACTCTAATCCAACTTACATCAACCTGCCATTAAATTTACAGTGAATATTAGAAGTAAATATAAAAGGAAGAGGGTGTAAGTACATGATCTATAATCCAACAAACTCATTAAAACATTAAACTACAAGACCTTGACAACGTTTTGATTTCTCATTCTTCCCTCTAGTGAATGCCTTTATATGCTCCAGCAACCAATCCAACATAAAACCACACCAATTATATTCCTTGATCTGATCAATATCTTCAAAAACACCAAAATACTTGGGACTTGGAACAGTATTGGTATTCGGACATAAAAAGCTACTCAAAGCAACTATCATGAAGCAAATGAACATATCCTCATCTGGTAAATCATCCTTACTGATTAACTTGTCAGTAAAAAATGAAACAGAAGGTATTCTATCCTTTCCAAACTTTGATAAGACAGCATCTCTACCAGCACTTGAATCAGATGGGAAACACCTGCTTCCTTTCGGGAGATCAAGAACCAAATGAACAGATTCTTCAGTAAGAGAAATAACCTTTCCATCACGGATAACGTCACCAGATTTCGAATCAACTAGACGTGCAACCCAGTTAGCAAACTTATTCGGCACGAAACACTTGTTGAACTTCAACAAAGATCCAAAACCATAACTCTCAATGATAGCCTTCTTCTCAGGGGATAGAGCAGATATCACATTCATAAAAGCTGTGGCAGAAAACCTAGTGAAGCCATCCTTAGTCTTCTTTTCAATTTTCTTCTTCTTTGACTGAAATGATTTACAATATTTCAGGGAAAACTTCAAAAGAAAAAATTATTAAAATGTGACTAATCCATCTACATCTTTTATATTTTTGAATGAATGAAAAAACACACTAATTAATAAAATCATGTCACCAGAAAACCAGAACTAAACTACAGAAAACGAAAAGATCACATCAGACATTAACAAAGAGCAACTTAAATACATGTGGAAAAATAAGGACACATAACCTTATGTCTCATAGCCATCTATAACCTTTTCTTCAAAACCTTAATCTTCTTATACTGAAAGGAAGAAAATTAAAATGAAAAAAATGAGAAAAGAACAAAGGAAAAGAAAGAAAAAAGATTTGAAAAAAAACAACATACATCTTCTAGGCACTTCTCATAGAGCTGGCGATCAAAACTTGAGGTGTCACTGGAAAAATCATTCTACAAATTCAAACTAATATTAAGCAAACAATAGGAAAAAATACCAAAGTAAAAAAAAGATAACTAGTTAGTCTAACAACCTGGGTTTCTGATAATGATGCATAGGAATCATAGTCTGTAAAAGGTAACTGAGAACACTGGACATCTTCAGAGCCACCAATGTCTGAATCACCAGAGTTTGACAAATCAATTACACCACCAGGTCTTTTACGAACCATCTAAAAAACAAGAAACAAACAAAGAGAATTTATAAGAAGAAATATGGCAGATACTTCTCCAATGCTAATCAAAATTTGGTCTCACCATGAGGTACTGTTATTACTAACTTACACCACTCTGTCTAAGAATTTACACTAAAATGATTTGTGTAAATATAGTAACAAGATACTGTCATAAAAAATAAAAATACAATACATGTTTACTACACAGGAGAGGAAGCAAGAAATGAGGGATAAAAAAAAGAAATGGTAAATCTAAGGGCTATGCAAATGCAGAGCCATCAGAATTTAGAAGGGGAACAAAAACAATAATGCAGCAAGGGCCACAACTAAATCTGCATACAACTACTGCTAACTGCATCAGCTAACCTCACATACCTTCCCCTCCCTTACTCACCACCACAAACCACATCATCTCCATTTAATACCACACCATCCTATCCTCTTCCCCTTCCCTGCGCCTCCCTCATATATCTGCATCTCTTCATGCAGAGAAGCACTGCCATATGACCACAACACATGCTGAACATGAAGATAAATTGCCTCCTACCTTGTCTTGCTCCTCCTGGAAACTAATAACAGATCAGCTAGCTAGCTACACCATCTGCATTGCAGTATACGAGCAGTAGGATCTTCGTTGCTATGTTACAAGGATCTAGCTAGAAAATAGCAACTAGAACATACATACATGGTTGCCTTGCCTCCTCAACCCCTTAAATTTCTTTCTGCGAAGAAAAAAAGACATGCCACAAAAGGCGAAACATGAACCCAAGGCAAAACACCTACGAACCAGCTAGGATTGCTACCGCACAAACAGGCCTAGAACAAAAATCATGAAGATGTAATCCTAGGTCCACTTGCAAAATGTGAGAACAAAAATAAACAGAAATCAGAAGCAAATATCAGTTAACTTGTTGAACTACATCATTTAACTGGACAATGATCCTGATCTACTGCTACAGTAGGCTCCGTTGTCGTCTGAGTGCCTAGGCTACCAAAGATAGGCTAACAAAACAAGCTGAAATGGATGGATTGCCAGACAACTATACAACGGCAGCAGCATCAAACTCAACCACGCAGCAGTACACTTAACAAGCTGCTAGATAGCAAGTACAGAGTACTACATGCTTCCACTCCTGCTTCGACACAAAGTAATAAAGTATTCAAATGAGAACGAAGCTGGAGCTAGCAACTACTAGGTACGTATGATGACACACAGCAATTAAACAAAGACAAAAATCGCCTAAACCACTGTACACGAAACAACAGGGGATGAACCACCAACCCCCATCCCCTACCACCAACAGAGCCACCACAAAAATCGCCAGATCCACTATAACTCGGACGAAATCAAACAATTACACTCTACATGAAAACAATAGGGGATGAACTAGCAACCCCATCCCCAACCACCAACAGAGCCACCACAAAATCCCCAGATCCACTATAACTCGAACGAAATCAAACAATTGCAGGGTGCAGCAGCCCAGGCGGAATCCACAATTCACTCTATCTCGAACCACAACAGATACAAACACGCATCCACCACCACATACCTCGACGAGGAGCACAGACGAGGAGCAGACCTTGAGAAACACTAGAATCGCCAATCGACGAAAGCACCAGGGACACCACGAGCCTGACGAACAGAGGACCAAAAACACAAACCAAAATACTCCATCAGCATCAGATGAACTCTAACAACATGGTTTTACATGAAGAACACACAAATCAGAAGAGGGACGAACTGGCGAACCTAGAGAACCCTAGAATCGCCGTCGACGACGACAACGGCTACGCCGCGGGGGAGACAAGTAGAAGAAATGAAATGAATGGGGAACACCTAAAACGGACAGGGACACCCCTGCAATAACGGGCGCGATTACAAAAAAAATAAAAGAAAGCGCCGACATATCAGACCCACATGGCAGACAAAGAATACAAAGACAAAGAAATAGAACCAGGCTGTCTCATAACGGACCGCACATGCCAAATCGAACGATCAAAAAAAGCCGGTTGAGACAAACATCCCAATCAACCGGTTGACAAATAGACTTTCTCTAAAAATAATAATAAAAAAAACTAGTGGCTGCTACTGCTTCTTCTACAACACAACGCAACCTGGTACAATGTGATGGGCATCGACATGGTCGGCGAGCCGCTTGCTGCAGGTCCAGGTTTTCATGTCATCCTCAGGCTGAGGTACTGCTGGCACTGCAGCAGCCACGGCGCGTGCTGCCTCATCATCATGCCTTCTCCAAGGTCAAACTCCACGGCCCTCTGGCACGGCGGCGGCGGCGGTGGCAGCGCGTGGAACACCGCCGGCGCTGGCCCGTCGTCGGAGTAGTACTCGGCAGACGACGGCGGCGACGACGACAGGACGCTCGCGCCGGAGCAGTCGGACCCGAAGGGCGAGGAGCCGCCACTACCGGCGTTGTCGCGCTGCTCTGCAGCTTGCCTCCTCCTGTGGTTCTTGCGACGGCCGGCGGCTGAGCAGCGCCGCCCGCCGATGGCGAGCGTCAGCTCAAGCTCCGTTCCAGCAACGTCCTCGTCCTCGTCGGCGCTGACGATGTACTCGTCCGCCGGGAGCTGCAGGTTCAGCGCCCGCCGCGGCTGCTTGCTGCGCCGGCGGGTGGTCATCAGCACCGGCGCGTCCCGGGTCAGGTCGCTCATCAGCTCCCTCTGGATGCGGTACAGGCGGTGCAGCTCGTGGACCTGGATAGGATGTTTGCCAAGAACAATGGCGACGATCAGTAGCAGTTCATACATACATACACATCATTTTCAGGACGAAAGAAAGAAGTAGCAACGGTGTGATGATGAAGAGGAAGAACCCAAAGTTTCTTGGTGGTTTATTACCTGCTGCCTGAAGGTTTCTTCGTGCTTGAGCATGGCCATCTTCATGACCTCCATGTCGCATTGCCTCACAAGCTGCCTGTCCATCATCATCCTCGTAGCTATAGCCGCTCTCTGTTCTTGCTCGATCGAGCTTGGCTATATGGATCGATCCGGGTGACCAGACTCTTCAGTGCCGAGCTGGCGCTGGAACTGGAACTGGAACTGGAACAGCACACGAAGCTGTTGAAAGAGAGAGCAGGATGAGCAGCTGTTGTGGTGGCAGGGGGGAGCGGATTTATAAACACCTTCCTCCAACGCCCATGGGGGCTGCCTTTCCGTTCGCTAGACACTAGGAGAGGGATAAACTTTTGCATGCCTCCCCTCCTTTCTGGCACGGCAAACAAAAGGGGAGAGAGAGAGAGAGGAGGAGGCCCCGCTCAGCTGCATGCATGCACCCCGGCTAATGGCACACTATCAGTGTCACTCGCTGGCTTGCTAAGCATGCACGCAGTGCCCCTCGCAGAGCAGACAGGCCTGCAGGGGTCCAGTTTAATCTTCTTCTATCTACCTCGTCACCCATGCACGCGCGGGGCCCACGTGCATGCATGGACATGGACGGACGGACCAAAAGCAATTGGTACTGCGAACCATGCATCAGGAGGAGCCGAGGAGTGCATTTCAAACAGTGCACACACTTTGTGAGAGTATGTGATGCAGTGTAGTGGAGTACATGTGTGCGCCATGATCATTGCTTTGTGCAGTTTGTTTAGTACAGTTTCGTTCTCATGTCATGTGTGCAAGTAAGAAAGATATTCCTAGTGAGATGGTGCTGTCAGCTCGTCACTGAAAACAAGCAAAGGGAAGGAGCATATGAGCTGCTGCTGCTGATGATAGATGAGGATGAGCAATGCGTGCGGCTCCTCTCATTCAGTGCTACCTGCATTATTGCCACATTTGCAATGTTGCAATGTTGCAATCTAACATTAACAAAGCCCATATCTTTGGGGAGCGGGTAATAAGGGGGGCCAGTTGCCCAGTTGCAGTTCTTGTCTCTCTGCTGGAGTTGGAGCTTAGTGCCGACCTTCTGCTCTTCAGTGGAAAAAAAAAACGATAAAAAAAACCTGATAACTCTTCTGTATTGCAGTTGCAGGAGGAGCAAGTCAGCTGAGAAGGCAGCAAAGGCTGGTTGGATGGATGGATGCAGAGTTGAAGAGATCCCTTTCACAGGAAGCATGAAGCATGCATGTCTGCAGTCTGCACAATGCTGAGAAACTGATTTGATATTGCTGTTGCAATGCATGCGCAGTTGCTGCTTCATCAAACAAACTGCAATTACGTAGGAGTACTCCTTGTTAGTTATGGTGAGTGCTTCATTGCAACGGTGATTAGCCGGGGGTGTTCAGTGGTGATGAAGTGATTGAAACGCCTAAGCAAGGGGGATGGGTGGATGGATAGATGGTCCGAGGGAGAGAGAGAAAGAGTTCCTCCTTTCTCGGCTTTCTTTTTGGTCTTCTTCCTAGTGCAAAAGACCTTTTATGGATAAGATAAAGCACTGTCCGTTGGACAGCAGTGCAGGCCTACTTGTTCCCTTGAAAATTTCTTGCATGCATGTCACTTACAGAAAAGATCTGCCAAAAAAGATTTTGATTTGACACATTCGTAGGGAAATTCTAGGAGGTAATCCCCACTTAGTCACTAACAAAAAAGAGCTGCAAAAGAATACTAGTTCCCCAATCATTGTGACTTACTCCTCCTTTACAATTAATTACCAACTGCTAATACGAAGTAGCAGCTCAATGCAAGAATGCATTCATCATCTGGCCAAATTAGGCCCAAAAAAAGGTGTGAAGCTGCTGAAAAAACAGTAGAAGCTTTGTAGGTAGGGGAGAAAGTCACCTCCCTCTCGCTTTGCATACTTCTAAAGTTAAAAGGCTACTTTCGTCAGGGGTTGGGGGGGGGGCTTTTTCCACCAATTACTCCATGATTTTCAGGCCGGGAAAAGGAGGCCGGCTAGCTCATCGATTGTTTCCTCTGCAAAAGCAATTGGCCAGCAGAGTGCAGTGGTGTGGAGCTAGCTTCTCAAAAGCATATACCGGCCAACTAGAACAGCATTTTCTGAACTCAAAAGACAAATAGGGGGGCAGCGATTCTAGCTAGCCTTCTGGCCTCTTGGCTGTGGCTGCTCTCCTGCAAGTTCGTTCGTCGATCCACACACCTGAGATTTTTGTTTCTGAAGAGAAAGATTCGTCA